CCAGTGGAAGTAGGGACTGATTACATTATCTTTTGTATATGGTTCTACAGTCTTCATCTTATGTACTTGTATTGATAAAGCCACTAGATGGCGAAACGTCTACAAATAAAGATACCCAGACGTCGCACATATGTCTAATTCTTCAGCACTAGGTAGCTTCAAGACGAAACGTTTCGCCTGCGCTAAAGGCTTCGTAAGTCGAATGCAACGATGAATTACCTAGTGTCGCACATATGTCTCACTCATCAACTTTTCAATGTCTTTCCTACTGTTTACCTGTGCTGTCTCAGCACAGGTAATCACTGGTAGAGTGGTAAACAAGCTGTACGTAATTAAACTGTAATTGTGTTTATGATCGTTCACTTTCACTGTTGTCAGATGTGGAAACTGTTCTCTCACGACCGCACATGTAACACATGACTCACATGTGTCATCGCACGAAGACATATTCATCGTCACACTGCGAGGATAGTCGGCCCGAGCTGGAAAATCCATATTTTGAACGTGTCCTCTTCACGAGAAGCATGTCACTTCATTTTTAACCTCTCCTTCAACACCTATCCAGTCTACCCTCCCTTCTAAAAGTCTCGCCTATTAACTGGTTTACTGCACCTGCTCGGCAGTTAATGGGTTAAAAGGCCTTTAATTAAGGTCAGCACTCGTTTCTTCTGAATGACCCTTACGGTTTTAGCGATTTATGCGAATGTTAATAATAATAATAATACAATAAGTGTTCCTTGCCACGATACTTCTATTATCTCTCTCCTCCTATTTTCCATCATCTCTCACCCTTCTTCCTTAAAATTTATCACCAGAAGTAACCCTCTCATATCCTTCCTTCTTACTCCATACGGGTTTAGGGCTTGTTTTCGCATATGATTATAATTTTCCTTGCCTTCCACAGCCTTCTCCCATGTTTTATCTATCCACCCTTCCCCCCACTTCCATCCAGCGCTGGGCTCCCTTGTCGTGGTGGCAAAGTTTGAGCGGCTTTGCCTGACTAAGCTTTTAGTGTTATCCATTTTTTTTCTAAATAGCAGGAAAATTTCCTATTTTGTCAAAATCTGCCGTTGCTTATTATATATAACTTAAAATGAATTATGGATGTGAACTGAACTGCAGTTAATGGCTTACATACAACGTATGTAAGCCATTAACTTATGCTTACATACGTTGTATGATTTATAACCTAACCTAGGTAAGACACATATGCAACAGTTAGGTATCTTTATTATGAAACGTTTCGCCTACACAGTAGGCTTCTTCAGTCAAGTACAGAAAAGTTGATAGAAGCAGAAGATACTTGAAGACGATGTAATCAGTCCATCACCCTTAAAGTTTTGAGGTGGTCAGTCCCTCAGTCTGGAGAAGAGCATTGTTCCATAGTATGAAACAATATGGAGATGAAGTGACAGGATGGAGCTTTTTATAGCGCCAAGAGGTGAGACGTAGGCCACTAGGAGAGGTAAGAACTCAGATGTTGAGAGATCAGGTCCCTCTCAAATCCAGCCGCTCTCACTAGTGGAAGTTGTCGAAGTTGATTGCAGGTCTGTACCAAGATACCCTTGTGTTGCAGTGTCTGACAGATTGAACAGTAAAATGGTATAAAATACCGACAGGTTGTTAGGTAAGACACATATGCAACAGTTAGGTATCTTTATTATGAAACGTTTCGCCTACACAGTAGGCTTCTTCAGTCAAGTACAGAAAAGTTGATAGAAGCAGAAGATACTTGAAGACGATGTAATCAGTCCATCACCCTTAAAGTTTTGAGGTGGTCAGTCCCTCAGTCTGATTACATCGTCTTCAAGTATCTTCTGCTTCTATCAACTTTTCTGTACTTGACTGAAGAAGCCTACTGTGTAGGCGAAACGTTTCATAATAAAGATACCTAACTGTTGCATATGTGTCTTACCTAACAACCTGTCGGTATTTTATACCATTTTAATGTTCAATCTGTCAGACACTGCAACACAAGGGTATCTTGGTACAGACCTGCAATCAACTTCGACAACTTCCACTAGTGAGAGCGGCTGGATTTGAGAGGGACCTGATCTCTCAACATCTGAGTTCTTACCTCTCCTAGTGGCCTACGTCTCACCTCTTGGCGCTATAAAAAAGCTCCATCCTGTCACTTCATCTCCATATTGTTTCATACTATGGAACAATGCTCTTCTCCAGACTGAGGGACTGACCACCTCAAAACTTTAAGGGTGATGGACTGATTACATCGTCTTCAAGTATCTTCTGCTTCTATCAACTTTTCTGTACTTGACTGAAGAAGCCTACTGTGTAGGCGAAACGTTTCATAATAAAGATACCTAACTGTTGCATATGTGTCTTACCTAACAACCTGTCGGTATTTTATACCATTTTAATGTTCAACCTAACCTAACTTGGAACGACTGTCTGGTAGATTTTGGAAAGTGATACATAAACTTGTGAGTGTCACTGATGGTTGTGACAGTATCACTGATGGTTGTGACAGTGTCACTGATGGTTGTGACAGTATCACTGATGGTTGTGACAGTATCACTGGTGGTTGTGACAGTATCACTGATGGTTGTGACAGTGTCACTGATGGTTGTGACAGTGTCACTGATGGTTGTGACAGTGTCACTGATGGTTGTGACAGTGTCACTGATGGTTGTGACAGTGTCACTGATGTTGTGACAGTGTCACTGATGCTTGTGACAGTGTCACTGATGCTTGTGACAGTGTCACTGGTGGTTGTGACACTGCCTCTCACGCTTCCCCTCAGCCTGGGCGGCTGCACTGACACAGTCTGTGCATTATAAATATTTGTCTTTGACTTAATTCTGGACATAGTCTAGATTGAAACTTTTTTTTTTCCTCTCAGCAGTGTGTCACCACCTTAGTTCTGATAAGCCCAACCGGGATTAAAACGAAAGTCTTCACTCGCTACTATTATTTTTGTACACGAATAACCCGCACATTGACTCATATAATGACTCCAACAACATGCTCATTGGAGAAGCCAGGTATAGATACTCAAAAATTAGGGACAAAGGAATTAATGTACAATTGCTATGGATCCCATCACACATTGGATTACTCCTTAAAGTTGATATGTTAGCCAAGAAGAGTACCCAGAAGGAGAATGTAGAATATAACTTTGGTATAACTGTGTCTAGCATTAGGAATAATATTAGGAGAGAAGTAAATAATGAAAATGATTGTTATAGGAATGCAGTTAGAAGCCTGAGTAGATCTATAACCCACTATGATAACATGAACGTAGATAAGTATGTTTATGGAGCAACGTGCAATGTGAACAGACTGACTGATGTTGTAGAGGCCAGGCTTAGGCTTGGTTACAAGTACTTCTGGCAGTTTGGGAGACACACAGATGATGATCAAACTAAATGTAAATTATGTGATCAGGCATATGGTCACTCTCTTGAACACTATGTGCTTAATTGTCCACTTATTGAGGAATACAGAGACAGACAGTATAATAACCTATGTGACATGTCAAGATATCTTATTAATGAAAATAAGATACCAGATATACTAAGCAAATTTCCTAAATTTGCTTGTAACAGATAAGTGAACTATAGATATGTAGATATAAATCCATATGTATTCCTGTTAACCCTTTGGGGCCTAGTTCCTAGGCCTTTTGTGTATCCATATGCTCTCGCGCTACCGTCCACAGGATGGATATGGGGTGCACAATAAACTAGCCACTTCGGTGGCAAAATCTAAAATCTAATCGCACATGGGGCAATGAAACTTGTGATGACGTTGTGGGTCGACTTGGATTATTAACTAGTGACACACAAGCACGAAGGGAAGGCAGCCAGGATATCTACGAGAGGCCGTAGTAGTAGTAGTGATTGTAGTATTGTACCTTTTAATTCGTTATTTTTGTATTAATAGTGAAGCATTAAACCTGTAAGGTTGACTCCCAAAATCGTTATGACAATAAAACAACTTAGTGAGCGGAGTGTAACGTTAAAGTCGTGTTCACTTGTTTACTAAAGTGAGAATCGGGTGATCTTCCAGGTCAAAGTTATCTTCACGTGTGACCACTGCCTTTCCTTCTCTATTTTTTCCCATAACTTTTCAGTTCGACCCCTGAACTACATTCATCATGATATAGCTATAAAAGCAGTCAAATGGATGGCTGTTGACAGAGCCTTGAACAGTTGAAATATGACTGTTTTACATCAGCCGTGCGCAGTGGCTGTTAGCTGTACGTTCGCGTGGCAAACTTATTTTATCACCTTTTATCTTATATTTATAGTTTTTTCCTTCGTAACCTAACTTATAAATGTACTGGAAAGTCCATGTGAAAACGAGTGACAGTTGTTAGGAGGATGTGCTGAAAGTTTTCAGCACTTAGAAAGCTCAACTTTTTCCCTTCCTCCCATGACCTTCTCCCATAACTTTCCTTCCATTCACACTCCTCCAAGAACTCCCCCTTAACTCTCACTCCTACTCCCTTTTCTTTCCCCCTCTCTCTTATCCTCCTCCCCATCTCCTACTTCTCCTCTTCCACCTCTGACCCCTCCTCTTCCACCTCTGACCCCTCCTCTTTCACCCCCGACCCCTCCTCTTCCAGTTTTCCACCTCCAACCCCTCACCTTCTACCTGCTACCCTTCCTCGTCCACCACTTACCTCTCCTCTTCCACTTTTCAACCTCCTACCCTCCTTCCCCCAACTCCTCCCTCCAGCCTCCTACCCAGTACCTTGCCAATGTTTTATGAATTTGCGGAAGCATACCTCGACGCGAGTCTCCTCCACCTTCCTGACTCTCGTTTCCTTTACCAGACTCAGTTTGTCTTGCTCAGTAACACCCCACCAGCGCAGGGTGTCTCACTATACACATGTTGAGATATGTCTGTCTCAGTGTATATACACCGAGAGATGTCTTAGTGTATATACACTAAGTGTAGCTTAAGTGTAGCTCAGTATACTTACTGAGAATTTGCTTTGGTCCCTATCTTAGTTATTCAAGTTTTCCTGTGATTAGTGTTCGTGGTGGAGTGCGTCTTAATGACCTTCGTGCTGTTGTTACGCCTTAATCAAACGTATTATCCACCAGCCTTTGTTAGCAATGAAGTGGTGGCTCATCCGATCAATGAAGCGGCAGCCCATCCCATCAATGAAGCGGTAGCCCATCCCATCAATGAAACGGTAGCCCATCCAACCAATAAAGCGGCAGCCCACCCCATCAGTGAAGCGGCAGCCCATCCCATAAATGAAGCGGCAGCCCATCCCATCAATGAAGCGGCAGCCCATCCTATCAATGAAGTGGCAGCCCATCCCATCAATGAAGCGGCAGTCCATCCTATCATTGAAGAGGCAGCCCACCCCAGCAGTGAAGCGGCAGTCTACCCCAGCAGTGAAGAGACAGCCAATCCAGCAGTGAAGCGGCAGCCAACTCAGCAGTGAAGCGTCAGCCAACCTAGTAATGAAGCCGCACTCTACCCCAGCCGTGAAGCGGCAGTCTGCCCAAGCAGTGAAGCGGCAGCCAACCCAGCAGTGAAGCGGCAGCCAACCCAGCACTGAAGCGACAGTTTACCCCAGCAGTGAAGCGACAGTCTATCCCAGCAATGAAGCTAGTCTACCCCAATTGAAGCGACAGTCTACCCCAACAGTGAAGCGGCAGTCTACCACAGTAGTGAAGCGGCAGTCTATCCCAACAGTGAAGCGGCAGTCTATCCCAACAGTGAAGCGGCAGTCTATCCCAACAGTGAAGCGGTTGTCTACCCCAACAGTGAAGCGGTAGTCAGTACTGACCTCTTTCACTGAACGTATTGAACGATTAAGCCATAGTAGGGAAACAAGTGTAGTCAAAGATAAGATAAAACCAATATTGCAAACTAGAAATACCGCAGGAAATAGCAAACAAGAGGACTCCACTAGCAATAGTGAGGATATATTACCAAAAACAACTGGTGGGAGCTCCATTGTTGGTGCTAGGGAGGATAGAAGTAAGACAGGGAAACATGCACCAACAGGGAATACAGTCACAGAAACCCAAGGCAAACGGAAACCAAGCCTGTGCACATACTATGCACTTGGTATCTGCTGGCATGGGAAATCTGGAAAAACAGATGGGACGTGCAACTATGACCACCCTAGAAAATGCCATGCCCATATGACAACAGGAAAATGCAAACTCCCTTCCTGTAAGCTTTTTCACCCTGAACTGTGTACCTCTTCAGTACAGGAAAGACTGTGCTATAATTTAAATTGCCAGGCATACCATCTAAAGGGGACAAAAAGATGCAAAACATCCAGGCCATGGGAAAACCTGGGTAGCCACAGCCACTCAAGAGGGAGAGGTTTTTAGTGCCAGGAAGGAAAAAAAACTGGCAGGAAATGGCAGAAATAGTACACCAAATCCAGTCATTCCTGGAGTGGAACCACAGTCGATGGCCTCCACTCCAAACCAACAGATACAGATACTAATGCCGGAGAAAAAATCCCCCCCCCCCAGTACCAACAATACCACCAGTCCGATAACATTCTTCTTTGCAAATATACAGGGTCTAAAGCCAGCAACAAACAACAAAATACCTTTCATTCCGTGGACTGCTTGCAGAGGCAAAGGCAATGTTCGCGGCTTTCACTGAGACCCACATAAAGATCACTTGGACAACGAAATATGGATCCCAGGTTACAACCTATACAGATGTGACAGAGTGAACAGCAAAAAAGGAAGGGGGGTTGGCCTGTACATTGCAGAGTCACTTGTTTGCACAGAACTGCTAAATGCCTCAAATGATGTAGTGGAAGTTTTAGCAGTAAGATCGAAAACCCAAAACCTAGTCATTGTGGTAGTCTACAAGCCTCCGGATGCAACATCCCAGCAATTCCAGGAACAGCTGTTAAAAATTGACCACTGTCTGGAAAATCTTCCAGCTCCTGCACCCAACATCTTGCTCCTGGGGGATTTCAACTTAAGGCACCTAAAATGGAGGAATATAGCAAATAATATTGTTGCAGTAATAACACCAGGAGGCAGCTCTGATGAAAACTCACACTCACGCGAGCTTTTAAATCTCTGCACAAAATTCAATTTAAACCAGCAAATAATAGAGACCTACTAGACTGGAGAATACACTAGACCTCATCTTCACTAACAATGATGATCTGATAAGAAATGTCACCATATCAAAAACAATATACTCAGATCACAACATAATTGAGGTTCAGACATGTATGCGCGGAGCCCCAGACCGACATAATGAGATTAGTCACGAGGGAGCATTCACCAAATTCAACTTCAATAACAAAAACATAAAGTGGGACCAAGTAAACCAAGTCCTAACCGATATAAGCTGGGAAGATATACTAAGCAACACAGACCCCAACTTATGCCTAGAACAGATTAACTCGGTGGCACTCGATGTAAGCACAAGGCTTATTCCTCTAAAAAAAAAAGGAGGAGTAGATGTAAAATAGAAAGAGACAGGCGCTCCCTTTACAGGCGACGGAAAAGAATAACAGAGCGGCTAAAAGAGGTCAATATATCTGAAATGCGTAGGGAGACACTGGTCAGAGAAATAGCAAGCATCGAACTTAAGCTAAAAGAATCCTTTAGGAGTCAGGAATCGCGGGAAGAACTAAAAGCCATAAATGAAATCGAAAGAAAACCCAAAATATTTCTTCTCCTATGCCAAATCAAAATCGAGAACAACGTCCAGTATTGGGCCCCTACTTAAACAAGATGGGTCCTACACAGATGACAGCAAGGAAAATGAGTGAGCTACTCAAGTCCCAATATGACTCAGTTTTTAGCAAGCCGCTAACCAGACTGAGAATCGAAGATCAAAATGAATTTTTTATGAGAGAGCCACAAAATTTGATTAACACAAGCCTATCCGATGTTATCCTGACGCCAAATGACTTCGAACAGGCGATAAATGACATGCCCATGCACTCTGCCCCAGGGCCAGACTCATGGAACTCTGTGTTCATCAAGAACTGCAAGAAGCCCCTATCACGAGCCTTTTCCATCCTATGGAGAGGAGCATGGACACGGGGGTCGTCCCACAGTTACTAAAAACAACAGACATAGCCCCACTCCACAAAGGGGGCAGTAAAGCAACAGCAAAGAACTACAGACCAATAGCACTAACATCCCATATCATAAAAATCTTTGAAAGGGTCCTAAGAAGCAAGATCACCACCCATCTAGAAACCCATCAGTTACACAACCCAGGGCAACATGGGTTTAGAACAGGTCGCTCCTGTCTGTCTCAACTATTGGATCACTACGACAAGGTCCTAAAATGCACTAGAAGACAAAAAGAATGCAGATGTAATATATACAGACTTTGCAAAAGCCTTCGACAAGTGTGACCATGGCGTAATAGCGCACAAAATGCGTGCTAAAGGAATAACAGGAAAAGTCGGTCGATGGATCTATAATTTCCTCACTAACAGAACACAGAGAGTAGTCGTCAACAGAGTAAAGTCCGAGGCAGCTACGGTGAAAAGCTCTGTTCCACAAGGCACAGTACTCGCTCCCATCTTGTTCCTCATCCTCATATCCGACATAGACAAGGATGTCAGCCACAGCACCGTGTCTTCCTTTGCAGATGACACCCGAATCTGCATGACAGTGTCTTCCATTGCAGACACTGCAAAGCTCCAGGCGGACATCGACCAAATCTTTCAGTGGCTGCAGAAAACATATGAAGTTCAACGATGAGAAATTTCAATTACTCAGATATGGTAAACATGAGGAGATTAAATCTTCATCAGAGTACAAAACAAATTCTGGCCACAAAATAGAGCGAAACACCAACGTCAAAGACCTGGGAGTGATCATGTCGGAGGATCTCACTTTCAAGGACCATAACATTGTATCAATCGCATCTGCTAGAAAAATGACAGGATGGATAATGAGAACCTTCAAAACTAGGGAGGCCAAGCCCATGATGACACTCTTCAGGTCACTTGTTCTATCTAGGTATGGAATATTGCTGCACACTAACAGCACCTTTCAAGGCAGGTGAAATTGCCGACCTAGAAAATGTACAGAGAACTTTCACGGCGCGCATAACGGAGATAAAAACACCTCAATTACTGGGAGCGCTTGAGGTTCCTAAACCTGTATTCCCTGGAACGCAGGAGGGAGAGATACATGATTATATACACCTGGAAAATCCTAGAGGGACTAGTACCGAACTTGCACACGAAAATCACTCACTACGAAAGCAAAAGACTTGGCAGACGATGCACCATCCCCCCAATGAAAAGCAGGGGTGTCACTAGCACGTTAAGAGACCATACAATAAGTGTCAGGGGCCCGAGACTGTTCAACTGCCTCCCAGCACACATAAGGGGGATTACCAACAGACCCCTGGCAGTCTTCAAGCTGGCACTGGACAAGCACCTAAAGTCAGTTCCTGATCAGCCGGGCTGTGGCTCGTACGTTGGTTTGCGTGCAGCCAGCAGCAACAGCCTGGTTGATCAGGCTCTGATCCACCAGGAGGCCTGGTCACAGACCGGGCCGCGGGGGCGTTGACCCCCGAAACTCTCTCCAGGTAAACTCCAGATGTAATAATGAACAGTTGCAGGGCTCTTCAAGAGGCGTTCATCGACTCCGGTATTGGGCTCTTGTTCCAAGAACTTGGAGCTCCCCTTCCCCTTTTAGGATCAAACCAGCCGAGTCGATCCTTTAAATACAAGCCACGAACCTAAGACATCAATACTTTTTTTTATTTTTTACAAAACAAATCTTGCTTTCTTGTTTCTTTGAAGGTAAGTATATAAGTTTATTCAGGTATACACAAATACAATTACATAGATTATCATGCATAGCGGTATATGTGTAGAGAACCTAGGACTTATTCCATTGGAGTCCTGGTAGACAACCTCAAACACTTCAAAGGATAGTGTTGCGAAAAAATATTTAAATCGTTTGGAACTGTAAATTGGAAGCTATTAGCTTTACGGAGCTATAAAGTAGATATAGACAAGTACGTAGTTATAAAAAAGGGGGGGGGAAGTGAAAATTAAAAATTCAAAACTAGCGGGGGGGTGTGTGGGGGGGGGGGCAGACAGCTGCCACCTGGCGGCCCCCGTGTCCCTTGACACAAGGGTGGTGGTACGGAGGGTTATGTACCCGGGAAAGTGGATAATTTTGTGTTATTTAAATCAAATCACCCCTATCTCGCCTGGTAAGTACACAATATCTTATTTGCAGTAGGCCATGCGGAAAGGGGGAAATATCAGGGAAAAGGTATCCCTTTAAAAGGGTGAAAGTTCGTCGCTGCGGGGAATGTGACCGGGGTAGCTGGGTGCTGCGACGCGAGATGTAAATTGGAAAATTATCGTATGTGAGTGGGTGTAGATCTAAAAGATTATTTTACGGGGGAAAAATATAATTAATTATAACTTACTTTTTGGAAAAAGGTTTAAGAAGTAAGAAAGTG